GTGGGTGGGGCGGGGCAGGCTCTCCAGGCAGGAAGCTCCCACGCTACCGTGGTTAAAATACTCAGCAGGACTGGGGGCCCCCATCTGGCCCAGATCTCTCAGGCACAGACCCCCAGCGACAAATCAAAGCCCGAGAGCTGCCCTCAGGCCCTAGCAGCGTCTCGGGGGTGGCCTGGCCTTGAGTCCACTTCCGCTTCATCTTCTCTCTTTCTTTTAACCTTCACCCAGGGAGCGAAGACATTTTTCCCATGGATTTTTAGAGAGAGTGGAAGAGACGGGATCAGGAGAGGGAGAGGGAGAGGGAGAGGGAGAGAGAGAGAGAGAGAGAGAGAGAGAGGAACATCAATGTATTAATTGTTAGGTATTGACTCACGCAATTATGGAGGCTGAGAAGTCCCATCTGCCATCCACATGCTGAAAACTCAGGAAAGACAGCCGTGGAGTTTGAAGGCCTGAGAGCTGAGAGGAGATGGCATGGATTCCAAACCATATCCGAAGCCCTGAGAACCAGGGTCACCAAGGGAAGAATACTGATGTTACAGCACAAGCAGTCAGGGAGAGAGAGAGAGAGAGAGAGAGGGAGAGAGAGAGAGGGAGAGAGAGAGAGAGAGAGAGAGAGAAAGCATCGATGTATCAGAGACACATCGATTGGTTGCCTCCCGCACACGCCCCCCCTGACCCTGACCCTGTCCCTGACCCTGACCGGGGGCAGGGATCAGACCAGCAATCCAGGCAGGAGCCCTTGACAGGAATCGAACCCAAGACCCTCTGGTGTGCAGGCCGACCTCTAACCACTGGGCACACCAGCCAGGGCCCCTCGAGGGCCAGAAGTGGGCGTTGGCACCTGCAGGAGCCGTCCGAGCTTTGACCTGACATCCGGCGTGGCAAGTCCAGAGGTCGGGGCTGCCAGCCCCACCCCAGCAGCGGTACTCGGTTCCGTGGGAGACCCTGCGGGCAGCGGGCTGGCCACCCCCTCCAGGGCCCACCCGGAGGCGGAGCCCAGACGCCCCCTGTCCGCAGGGCCTCAGCCCCCCCGAGAGGGTCTGTTATCGGGGTGCAGACTCTGAGGGCTTAGCTCGGATGCGGGCTGGGCCCGACTTCCTCTGTTGCGAAGGAGACGAACAGCCATAGAGGAAACCAGACTCGGTTATAAATAGCGAGGGAGAGAGAGAGCGAGAGAGAGCCTCTGTGGACCACCAACCCCCCAAAAACGAACTGGTTTTGGCTTCAAGGGTTACTGGGGGTTTAATGACACCCAGATCCCTTCAGACACAAGCTCTATATCCAATCCTCTCCCCAGTAACAGCCTCTTTTTTTTGTGTTTTTTTTTAATACTCACTCGGGGATATTTTTCTATTGATTTTTAGGGGGAGCAGAAGAGAGAGGGAAGACAGAGAGAAACATCGATGTGAGAGAGACACATCGATGGGTTGCCTCCTGCACGAGCCTGCACCCGAGGTCGTGCCCTTGACCGGAATCGAACCCAGGACCCTTCGGTCTGCAGGCCGACGCTCTACCCACTGAGCCACACCGGCCAGGGCTCCAGTAGCTTCTATTACAGTTCGGGGGGCCAAAGGCAGGAGCGGGTGTGGGTGACCCTCGAGTGGGGAAGAGCCCTCCCACGACCACCTAGCGCCACCCCTTCGCCTTCAGGTGGAGAAATGGAGGCCCCAGGAGGTGGAGAGACTTGTCCAGACCGGGGCGTCTCCACGGCCCCACACACGCCGGGACCAAAGGTCCACCTCTGACGCGGAGCCACAGGGGAGCTCACGGTTCGGGTCAAAGTCAAGTCGGCACAAAAGGACCAGAGACAGCCCCGAAGCCACCGGGCGGAGCCCCGAGTCACGGAGATGCCGGGTGGAGTTCCAGCCCCGCCCCTGCCCGGCCCCGAGACCTGGGCGGCCACGGGAGGGACTCCGCGTGTCGGGTCCCCGGCCTCTACGTGAAGATAACCACGTGCTCCTCTCGCCGTGGTGCTACCGTGGGGCTGAAGGGAGACCCCAGGTGAGCACCAAAGGGGGTCATGCGGGCAAGTGCTCTGTAGGGAGAAGAGGGGGCCAGGGCGAGGCCCGTGCCTGGGGCGCAGGAGGCACTGGGTCCCCTGTGACCACTGTTGCCCCTCGTGACTCGGTGTGGCCAGAGGGGCCTGGCGTGGGGGCCCCACGGCCACACACAGGAGAGCAGCTGGGCTGAGGCCAGAGCAGGCAGCGGCCTCCGTCCAGTGAGACCCGGTCACGGGCCGCCAAGGAGGGGGGCTGGGCTGGCACCTGCCCTCGGGCCGCCGGGCTCTCCCCGCAGAACGACCGTCCAGATGGCCCCTCCGGCCGCCCTGGGCCTGGTCCCCAGCCACGGCCGGGCTCCTGGGGAAGGGACGGGGGCGGGGGAGGGGAGGCCCGGAACAGGAGCCAAGCAGAGGCCAGGTGCCCCGTCTCAGGCCTGAGACTTTAATGTCCAAACATGACCGGGGCAATGATGCTGGGATCGCCCTGGGACTGCGCCCCCTGCTGGCGAGGAGAGGGGGCTGCGGCCTCCTCCAACCATCGCTGTGAGATGGGCGGCTGCCCCGATGGCTGACAATGTCCCTTCTGCACCCCTCTCTCACTCCCTCATCCTGGAGGCCCCAGCCCAGGCCGAGGCGGAGGGTTTCAGGGCCCGGGGGGAATGAGGGCCTCCTGGGAGCCCTGACGCTGGTCGAGGCTGCCCACTGAGGACCGCAGGCTCGGG